CGGAAGATCGCAACGTATGTTATGACGAGTGCCCGAAACGAAGATCCATTATTGACTGTCAGATCCGATAGAACTTCCTTCCCATACAGAGGCACAACATAAGCTATCAATGATCCTACTTCACTCGTCGAGGAGATAGTCTCAGAGGCTCTGAGTCACAGCCATTACGATCATTCCGTGCATCTCACTCAGTTTCCATTTCATCTTATCTTCCTACTCGCTCTTCTTCCTCGAAGTCGTTCCTGAATGTCGCAGCCTCGCGTTAAATGGATGGCCACCTGTGCCTCCTGGACCTGGGGCCTCGGCGATGAGGGAGTCGCCTCGGTAAGTCGTACCACGAGCACACTCTACACCCCACAATCGTGCATTTCCAGGTCCTAGAGGAGCTCGAGCAGCCCTCTAATAAGAGAGAGCTTATGGACTTCCTAGAGGGCAATACTAAGTAAGCTCCATCAACGTCTTCTGACTCTCATCGACGCGTTGTAGATACGATCACATATTCCTTTATCGGCAAGTTGCCGATCGCCCAATTCGTGAAGATCTTGGTAAGCACATGGCCCTCTGCATTCTCTCTATTGTTGAGCTCCTCGTGCTCGTTAGAACCCCTAGATGCACCCGGGCCTCCTAGAATAACTGTAACTTATGGCGAAGACCATCGGTTGAAAGGAAAGGCCGTGTACGTCTCACCACCGCTGTTATTTTGACACATGCATTTCATTCCTCCTTTAGAACTTTCCTCCGATCTGGCCTCGATCCTGGTAAGTCCGTTAAACTCGAAGTTGCTTGTGGAGAAGACCTTCTTGTTGGCGAGACGTCAGCTAATCCTCTAGAAAGCTTAGATGCTACCCTCAGTGGAGTAAGTTCACATATATGTCGCTGATCTCATCGTGTTGTTACAGCTACTAATACCACTTATCGACAATACCATGGTCGAGAAAGAGGCCTGGGGGCAATGTAACGAAGAACAAAAGTCTGAGTTCACGGCTAGTAAGTCCTCTATTTGCTCGTTTAAATGATCAATTTGAATCTTAACAGGTATCCGTAAGATTTCCACCGGACTGGGGCATGCTCTGAAGTCCATGAGGGGTGGTATCGAGCTACGTGGGATTGAAAAAGTCGACGGCCTGCTTGGTGAAAAACTGCTGCAATATGCGGCCGTTGCAAACTATATAAGTATAGTGGAAGAGAACCCAGATGTTACTCTCGAATTTGAGAGTCTCGTGGAGGTCTGGTCCCGCCAGGTCGAACAGTACCTTGAGAACTCGCTCGACTACGCTAGTGCCAATAAGATCTATGGCCACGAGCCTGGGCCTAAGACTGAGATCGATTTCTGGATGCGTAGAATGCAGAAAATTACCGCGGTCACCGAGCAGTTGAAGTCCAAAAGTTGTCGAGCCGTTTTCGGTACGCTGCACGCCGTTACGCGTGTGGGTCAGGATGTTGCTCCAAAGTCTCGGCAAGTGGTGTTCAACACTCTTCGACGATGGAATCGGGTGGAATTCTTGATTACAGAGGCCTTCAACGAGGCTCAAGACAATGTTAAGTACCTGAACACTCTGGAGAAGTTTATGGAACCACTTTACACTGGTACTCCTGACATGATCTCGGACTCTCTACCAGCATTGCTTAACGCTATCAAGATGGTATATACCATTGCCCGATACTACAACACGACTGAAAGATTGACTAATTTGTTCACCAAGATGACCAACCAGATGATCATCAACTGCAAGGCCTATTTATTGGGCGATGAGCATCCGGACAAGCTGTGGGAGACGAAGCCTGTAGTATTGATAAAGAAGCTCCGGGCTTGTCTCAATCTCAACGAGGTATACCAAGAACAGTACCATTTCAATAGGAAGAAGCTCCTAGCGCTACCGAAGGGAAAGCAGTTTGACTTCTCGGAGACTCAGATTTTCGGAAGGTTTGACCTGTTCTGCCGCCGCGTGCTCAAGCTAGTGGATATGTTCTCGACCGTCCATCAATTCGAGTCACTGGCCGCGTGTCGGTTTGACGGTATGGAACAACTAGTGGTCAGCTCCCGCACCATTATGGAGGAGTTCCGGAACAAACGACATGACCTTCTAGATTTCCACAACAACCGGTTCGATCGCGATTATGTCGAATTCAACGTCCGGATTGCCGACCTAGAGAGCGCACTACAGCAGTTCATCAATCAGAGCTTCGAGAGCATCACT